CGGGTGGTTGCGGTACGAGCGGAGGAGCGGGCTTTGTTCCCCCCCCACCCCTTTGTGGGCCTTAACTGTGATCTACATATGGAAGGTCAGATTTGGTTTTTGCCTCGCTCCCTTCAACTCAGCGGTTTCCAAGCTTACAAGCTGAGGGTGACGCATCTGTACCAGCTGAAGCAGCACAGCATCTTGGTTTCTGTTGGTGAGGATGAAGAGGGCATCAATCCCTTGGTAAGCGAAACGACAAGGAGAGGAACGCGTGTCTGTGTTACGGGTCTTTCCTGCGATTACCTTGGGTGACCTTTCTTACCTGAAGTGGTTTGTGTGTTCTGGGCACCGTTCCATTTGATGCCAGGCCTTGGCCGCCTAATACCTCGCGTTTTGCTTATGCCAGCTTGTTGTCGTTTGCAGGTTAAAGTCTGGAACCTGGAGAAACGAGATGGTGGCAATCCTCTTTGCACGCGAATTTTTCCAGCAATACCAGGTAACAAGCCCACGGTTGTATCCTGCCTAACCGTCCACGAGAATCTTAATTTCATGGCTATCGGTAAGTAAAACCGAGCTGTCGTAGCTTAAGAAAAATGTTATGGTCCTTACTCAGATGTGAGGAAGGTTAATAGCTAGCACAAAAACCAGCACAGAACAGCCTGATGGGTTTTCTTCTCCCGGCAGTTTTTGTGTTATTCTGATAGAGAGGGTGTCTCGCGCCGTCGTCGAGCTCGAGGAGATGAATACGTACATTTAGCCTGAGTCTGTGTACGCTACAGTAGTAACTTCGATACTTAAAAGGGAAGCGCATGTTTTTAGTTGATGTCATCCTTCCCCGCCAGTCGGTGAGGTCACGTGTATTGAACTTAATACTATATTTAGCTTTTGTTGCAGCACAGGAAGAAACATAGGTGTTGTGATCCCTAATGTGACAGAGACTTTTTTTTTTTTCCAAGCTCTACATAGGAATCTTTTTTTCAAAAGAAAAAAGGCGATTTCCCTTTTTGGATTTAACCATTCCTTTGCAACATTTCTTCCTTCGCTTCCGACAGAGTAAGCGCAGTGATGCCACGAGGTGACAGGCGCTTTCAGTCAGCCACTCCCTGCACTGAAATCAAAAAGCTTTCCGTGTGTGTGATCATAGAATCATAGAATGTTTTGGGCTGGAAGGGACCCCTAGAGGTCATCTAGTCCAACCCCCTGCAGTGATGTGGCCTTCCACCTGGAGCGACTTGCAGGACTGGGGCTGTTGGCAAGCTGTGAAAACCACGCGTTTGACTCGCTCTTGGGAAACCTCCCTCTAGTCTTTACGGCGTCTAGCACGTTTTGAATAAGGAACTGAATTCGAACGATCGTTAACGATCGGTGGACGAGAAAGCCATTTGTAAAACAAAATACAGACTCAAACAGAAATAACCTGTGGGTGAAGTTTGCATGTGGAAAGCCGGTTGAACCTTGCTGAACAGTGACATCCTGCGTGCGGTCGGGTGATAGCTCTGAACCGTAATGGGGGTGGTCGGGTGCTGTTCGGCACGTCCTTCCTCGACG